CTTGAAAGAGGTCTTTTGCAGCAGATTTGCCCAATACAATACGCCTCTTGATGTCTTGACTGATACTTACGTTGGCGTTGATTGTAGAACCAAGTAATATGAAGTCTTGGACAGCTTTAATCTTTTCTCCATCTGTCGTGATGTTCCTTATCCAGTTGTGATGATTTTTGTTTTCTTTATATTCAGGTGTAATCCATACTGCAGACTTTAGTCTTTAATCTTCATCAGTAAGTGCTCCAAGTCATCCTTACTTTCAGCAAGGGAAAGTTGGATAGTACAATGGTGTTATTTTAACTTCAGTGTTTCATTTAGCTGTTTCCATTTTTCCAGAAAGGTGTTTTGGTGATGTAGTGGTTAAGGCATTGGCTGCAAATTTTGGTTACAAAAGGTTGGTGGTTTGAACCCACCAACCAATCCACAGAAGAAAGATGAAGCCCTCTGCTTCTGTAAAGATTTACAGCCTTGGAGACTATGGAGCATTTCTACTCTGTCCTAAAGGGTCACTACGAGTTGGAATCAACTCAATGACAATGGGTAAACTGACACAGAAAAAAACTAGACATTAAACATTATGCATTGGGTTGATTGACCTCTACCCACGCATAAAAGTGGTAAATTTGATTTTGATTTTTACAAGACGATTAGTGGAATCCAAAAGATTTTTTACTTAAAGCCTTTGAGAAACCTGAGAAAAGAAGAAAACAAAATTATACTTTACTTGTATGGAGACATTTATCACTGCCATGAAAGTTCTCCATTGAAACAAATAAGCCAATTTTATGTTGTATTTGAACACTCATATTTGAGATTCACAGATGATAGTTAATCTGTGTAGATGAACTTGGCTGACATCATTAGGTTTATACTTTATAATTTACTCCTGGAAATAATTCAAGGAGAGAAATCCCAGTCACTTCATTGAACTGTACCTGAATCTTAACACAGTACAATTGAGTTCCTAGAGCTCCTGCATGATGTAATTAAACTGTCACAAATATTAACATCGATGCTCATGAGAGTCTCTGTTGGTTCTGATTTATTCTGCCAGGCATACTATCACTAAAGTGGACTTGCTGCCATTGAAAATGCCTCATGTTTCCCAATTCAGCAAAAATTTACATCAGTAATGGAACAGAGAGATATAATCGGCCCTGCGGTTGTCAGGATCCTGTTCTTCCTGACAGTATTTCACTCACGCCATGCTCACCAAATAATAGTAGTTTCAGACTGCAGGAAAAGGGAAACTAAAAATACTGAGTTTCACTTTTTCTTTTCTAAAGGCATAAACTTAAGCAAGTGAATAAATATACATACGTGTGTGTGTGTGTGTGTGTGTGTGTGTGTGTGTAGATACGATTCCTAGGTGGTGCAAACTGTGTGGTTTGAACCTACTTAGCAACACTGAGGAAGAAAGCCCTGGTGATCTGCTTCCATAAACTTACAGCCACTCATTGAAAACCCTGTGGAGCACAATTCTATTCTGAAACACATGTGGTTTCCATGAGACAGAATCAACTCAGTGGCATTGGGTTTGGTTTTGGGTTTTGTGGTGTGCATGTATGGATGGCTGGAAAGATAGAGTTTAGGATCTTAATCCTTCAGTGTTTATTTCCTGTACTTAGGATGTCAGAGAAGTTTCCTACAGTGTGTTGCCATGGGACTCAGAGAATTAGAGGCTTTTTGTCTACCCCAGGATTTTAACTCTCCATTTAATAATGGTATACAGCGTACATCCAACTAAGATAAGATTTTCTCTTAATGGTTAACATTACCAAGGATTCTTTTAGCTTGTGTTTTAAAAAGCACGGATGAAAGCAGTAATAAATGCAAGATTTTAATCATAGGTGAAAATCCAACTGGCATAGACCAAAGACAATTATGAGCATATTTAAGATACTGTACTAGGCCATTGCTGTTGTTTGGTTCAGATGTGAACCTGAGGTTGTCCTTTAGCCTGTTCACTGTTGTTGATGATCTGAAGCAAGGTCTTGATTTAGATGGAAGTGACAATGTGCTGAAAAAATAGAGCTTGAAAAGAAGTTATTTTTCACTATGGCAAGATTGAATGTTATGAAAAATTAGTTTCAAATGACCTCCAAAGTTCAAATTAATTTTGTTTGCATTTAGTTCAAATTAATTTTCCCCTTAGTGATAATGCTGTTCGACATGGATTTCTTTGACACATGAATAAACAGCAGAGATGCAGGTCCACACACTCTATAAGGGGACTCTCATTCCCAGCAGAAGACCACACAGCCCTAAGTTCCTTTACTTCCAAATCATCATTCTCTCCTCACAGAAACAAATCATCAAAAAAACTTTTTAAAAAATTACCCTTTACCAGCCCCTCCAGACCTCATTATGATGGTGTCAGGTAACAAAGAGGAAAGGGACATAACTTCCCAGTATGCCCCATATCAATAGTCCTTGGAATCTGAAGATTTCATTACTTATATAATGCACACACAACTTTTATTTCTCCCTATAACATTGGACTTCAAAGATACTTCAGTTTTGTTTGTATTTTTGGTTAAATGTCCAAGAAAAGAGTGGAAAAAATAGTGTTTCCATTCCCTTCTCACCTTCATAGTGAGCACAAAATGTCACGTTCTGACTTTCTTTTGTATGGAGACACACTGCATGTGGATAATAATATTTTTTATTACAAAGAAAAAATATTTCCTCTTTGTTAATGGGGATTCACTAATTTTATCTTAACTTCCAAATAAATACCTAATTTTATTTTCTGAGGGTAATGACATAGATGAATTACTACATGGAATTCTTCCCTTTAAGGAATTGCTGTTCCCTAATTACTAAGTTTGAGTGTTTTTTTTTTTTTTTTTTTTGCTAAAATATGTTGTTTGTGAGCAAGTGAAAATGAATTTATAATGATATTAAAAATGTTATCATGGACCTTTTCCTGTAATTTTTCCTTGTCTTTGTTATCTAGTGCTTCTATAACAGAAATAACACAAATGGGTAACTTTAACACACAGAGATTTAGTCTTTATGAGGCTTGAAGTAAGAATTCAGAGCACTGGCTTTAGGGGAAGGCTTTGTCTCTGTTGTCTATGAGGGAAGTTCCTTATTCCTTGTCTCCTTGGTGATCTTCATGTGGTGTGGTGTCTGTCATCTCCCATCTCTGCTTTCTCACTTGGCTTGTTAATCTCTTTTATATCGCAAAAGAGAGTGAACCAAGTTACACCCTACACTAATTCTACCTCATTAACATAACAAAGACAACCCAGTCTCAAATGAGATTATAACTACAGGCATAGAGGTTAGGATTTACAGCAAATAGTTTGGGAGGACATAATTCAATCCATGCCATTCCTTCATTGTAATTTGCAATTACTCCTTTTGCTTTCATTTAGGTGAGGAAGACCTTCTCAGTCCTCCCCAGGACACAAGCACAGGGTTAGAGGAGGTGATGGAGCAACTGAACAACTCCTTCCCCAGTTCGAGAGGTAAGCTTCAGTACCTAGAAGCCAGAGAGAGTTATTGGAATTAGGCCAAATATTCACTTCCATACCCAAGTGGAGTGTGCATTTTCCAGGTTTAAATAGGCATGTGCTAACAGAAGTCCAGTTTTGAATCATTGTCAGCAGATTTGATTTTTAAACATGATTTCTAGTTTGGAGTATTTTCAATTCAAATATTTACGTAATCAAGATATTCCTAGAAGCAAGAATACTACTTTATATTTCTAAAGTGTTTATTATGAGATACCTTTCACCTAAAAGTGATTGTTATGTGACTTTCACAGACGAGGAAATTAATGCCTTGATGGGCCCTTTGGTGGGAGCCTAACAGCTGTTTCACCCTATGGCAAGGCCTAGAACATGAGTGGTTGTGGGGATTCTAATTTATAATCTGACATCCTTTTTATTTAAAAATTGTATCTTACCCCATCATTTCAATGTGGATATAGCCAAATATACAATGATTGGGTTTTTATTCTTTTTTTCACTTCCATATAGACTTAGCAAAGAAAGGTGTTAGTATTATTTTTCTTTCTAGTAATCACATTGACTGTGGGTGCTTTGCCCTTCATATAAAGGCAGCATTTTACTCCATAGAATTTTCCCACCAGTCAGTGTCAGCTTCAGATGTGTGCCTTGTCCAAGGAGGTGTTTTTTTGGTGCCATTCATTTTGTGGGGTATTTATTTTGCTTTATTGCCCTGACATAGAACAAAGTCACTGACCAGCCTCTTTTCAGCAAATAAAAAGAATGGCAGCAGTCACCTGTGATCGAGTAGAGGGGAAGACTAGAGAAGTATGGGGGAAACACAAGGCTTTGTGCCTGGTGATTGGCACCCCTAATGGGCAGCCTGGGAGGAAAGGGCGGCAGAAAATCTGGACTATTTGTTCTCTTCACAAGGGCAATGAGGAGGGTGTTTTGAGTTGTATGTTTTTCCTATCTTTTTGTTCAGTGTCAGTGAACAATGGCCATTTCCAACCTATTTGATGTATGAGTGAACGTTGTGCAGTGCACATTAAAAGCAATAATGTTCTGATAGAGCGTTGCTAAGGAACTGTCAGGGAAAGCTAATTTTAAATGTCTGCACCAGCCATTTTTTCACTGCTGAGTGCCTCTGATGTGTTGATTCTAACAGATAAAAATCTTATCTGTTTTCTACCCACCCTCACACCACCCACCCCTAGCCCCATCCCCATCTTGACTATCTTAGGCATCTCCTCTCCCTAGATGCCATTATTCATAAGAACACTATGCCCAAGTTGGACATAAATAAATTCTTTCATCTTTATCCTCATTGCTTCACTTGGCAGCTTTGACTAGCACCTACTACTACATACTGGTGGAGGTGCTAGGAATATGCAAAAGAAAAGATAAATTCCTTGCCTTCAAGGTGCTTATGGTCAATTAGGGATGCAGAGTTCCAAATAAGTGAAAATCATAGTACAATAATATTATTGCTGTAATGGAGATGTCTATGATGTGAATAAGTCCCAGAATCGGCATGTTAGATAACAGAGAAGGGGTTAACCTCAAGCAGAAGAAGTATGTTCTTCAAAAGGAAAGGACTTTTGGACTCATGTCTAATACACATTTCATTACCCCCAAGCTTTCCCTTGAAGGTCATAGACATATGTCTTATCCCAGTGCCTTGAACCATATGCTAGTGGCCTATATATCTACACTGGGAAGTTAGTGGCTACAACAGGGTGTATGGTTCTGCTTCAGCATAAGCAGCCTTGCCTCCAAGACCTCATTTTGTACCTGGGTCTCTGGCACACCCTAATTACCTTGAAGATGAAATCCTTTACACTCTCTCCCTGCATCCCTCATTAGAGTTCTTGAAACTAGATACCACATGGGCTTGGAAGAAGCCACCTGGCAAGACTGAAAACATACGTCCTCTGGTGTGGTATTTGTCAGTTAACATCTCTGATATATTTACTTGTAGGATGTTGTTTTAGTTCTGGAGAATCTTGGGAAACTGTATTCATTGAGGCTGCCTTGATAGTGTTTACTAAATTATACTTACAGAAGTTTGTAATCCCTTAAGTGCTAATTTGAGTTTTCAAATAGGGGATAAGGAGTCCTTGTCTGATACCGGTTCCATTAACTTAGTTCCTACTTACTGAATAGTTCTTCTGTGGCCTAAGAGAATTAATTCATATTCCTGAAAAAACAAACATAAAATATGTAATAACAGAATAGCTAAGGTGCTGGGAAATCTGGCAAGTCTGCCTGTGATGCTAGAACCTTGACAGTTTTTCTTGTTTTACTACTTCCTGCTAAATCAGGCTTCATTATAGACATTTTTCTTTCTAAATTCAAATGGCTAAAAAGTCTCATCATAGTAAAATTATGTTGTCTTGGTTCTCTAGTGCTGCTGTAACAGAAATACCACAAGTGAATGGCTTTAACAAACAGAAATTTATTCTCTCACAATTTAGAAGGTTAGAAATCTGAAGTCTCGGCTCCAGCTCTAGCGGGGAAGGCTTTCCCTAGAAAACTGGCTCACAGTTTAGGAGAAAGGTCCTTTTCTCCTTTCAACATGTGTGGGTCCAGAGTTCTTTGGAGATCTCTGTGTATCTTGGCATCAGTTTTCTCCTGGGTCTAGGAGGTTCTCGGCACAGGTACCCTGGGTCCAAAGGATGTGCTCCACTCCTGGCTCCTTCTCAATAGTACTTAGGTCCCACTCTCTGTGCTCACTTCTCTCTTCTTTTATCTCTCAGAAGATAAAAGGTGATGCAGGCTACAACGCAGGAAAACTCCCCTTATATAGTTCAGGGCTATGACATAAGTAAGGGTGTTACATCCCACCCTAATCCTGCCTCATTAACATAACAAACATAACCTAATCTTCATTTAACATAACCTCATCTTGCTTCAGGAGCTCTGGTAGCGTAGTGCCTAAGGCACTTGACTGCTAACCAGAAGGCTGGCGGTTCAAACCCACCAACCACTCCTCTGAAGGAAGATGGGGCAATCTACTTCCATAGTGATACTGCCTTGGAAGCCCAAGGAGGGGTCGCTATGAGTCGGGTCTGACTCAATGGCACATAACAACAACAACAACAACAATCCTGCTTCATTAATGATTAATACATGGAGGTCAGGATTTACAACACATTGAAAATAAGGATGTTTACATCAGATCACAAAATAGAGGACAACCACACAATACTGGGAATCATGTTCTAGTCAAGTTGACACATATTTTGTGGGGACACAATTCAATTCATGATACAGACTAAGTATCAATGGATTCTGAAAGCATACCAACACTTTTTGGCATCCTCATTTCTTTAGAAAAGAGAGATAGGGTTTGGTGGGAACATCTTACCAGCTGGTCAATATGTTAAGATGACACTAAACAAAAGTCTTTGAGAATCCTAACATTTTAGGATTATACACTCTCCCAAATGGAAGGACCTTGAAAAGTCTTCTTGTTCTATCTCCTTTATAAATAATATCTTTGACATCCAGCATAGTGACTTTCAATTTTTTTTACCGTTATGTCTAATAAGAAATGAAGTTTACATCTCAACTTGGTATAAGATATAAAATAAGTTGT